TTAAATTCTTTACTACCTTACACTGTTTTTTAACTTGTTCTTGTGTGTTTGCTGACTGATCATTGTTTTTATTGCTTGTTCAGGACATACTGTGCTGAGGTTACGCACAACATTTCAACCAAGAAGCGAAAAACTATTGTGGAGCGTGCTGCTGAACTGGATATCATAGTTATTAACAATCTTGTGAGGGTGAGTAAATCTGTTGGTGGCTTAGTTCTTGTATCAGTCTGTGATTTGAAGGTTTGTTTTCTAAAAGATGATCTAATCAATCTCTTTATTTGATTAGGTTATAATTTTCTTTCAATGAGTTGCATTGTGTTTTGAACTTGACCAGCATATGATTAAGAATTCCCCAGAACTGTGATTCTATGCGCTATCATTATATTCAATTTTCACAATGAATTTTGAAAGAAGTGCAGCACTGCTGTGTGCCTATATATTACACTTTGAGAGTAGATCAAGTACTAGAAGATTACTGCATTAGTCAATACTAGTTAGAAATGTCTGTGATAGTAAAACTAGATTTGGCACACGAGTTATCAGATCCATACTAACTTATCTTTGCATCTAATCTGAAGGTTTCAATAAAGCGTTGGTCCTAGATATAATATTGGATTGATAGATGCAGCCTCGATCTGTCGATTCCTAGAATGTCAATTCCATCTTTCTTTCAGATTGCAATGAGAAGATTATCGTATGAAAGTGCAACGCTCAACGCCATGTTTTGTTTTTTGGATTGTTTTTTCTCTCTCTAAGTTCTCACTATAAAATTTGAAAAAAATAGTGTATTGATTTTCTTTAAAATAGAGTGAAAATGGGGTGTGTCTGTTGTAACTCATGTACTAATATACTTGAAAAGGAAAAAAAAAAAATGAATACTGATTTTTCAACAGATTCACAGTGAAGCGTTTGCTACCGCCTCCACTTTCTTTCTGTACTCTAAGCCATCACAGCACAGTAGACTAGTGCATTGAATTTTTACTTTTTTATATCATTTTGTCTTATTTATCAATTATCAACAGATCAAAAAATTTTTAAAAAAAAAAAACAAAAAACAAAAACACAATAATTTTTTTTTTTACAATTTTTTAGTATTCCAAACTATCCCGGTTACCTCTTATTACATTTAAATCAATTAAATTCCCTAAATTAAAACTATGTGTCGGTCAAATTATAACCTACTTCGTATCAATCAATGAATTTATCAATCAAAGTCTTAATCCCATATTAAAGTGTTACATTTTGTCGGTTAAATTGTAACACTTTTATTAAAATAGAGAGACTAAATTATGAAGTACTTTTAGTTTGATAACTGTATACCAAGTATTATATTCTCCTTTTTTTTTTTTTTGTGAATAAATATTATATTCCATATTTAATACTTCGTAGCATAAATGTTAAATTCATACAAAGAATAGATTTAATAAACACTAGTTATGTGCCCCAGCGATGCCCGGTAGTTATGGACTTTTTTTAAGATAAAATTATACTATTATAATTCAATTTGATTGAAAATAGAATTCTAAATTAAATTTTTTTGCTGCAAAGTCAATCTATATTTATCCAACGTGGTACGATACTTGGCGAAAAATTAAAACGCTAAATGATGTTGTCTTGTGGCCTAATTATAAATTTATTATTTGGTATTTTATCGAAGAAATAAACTCTAAACTAATAATCTTATTCTAAAATTCTATCCTAATATCTAATATTTTTTATCTTATGAAATCTATCCAAGGTGGTGTGACTCTTGACGGCTTTTTATCATATGAAGTCTATTTAAATCTATCCAAGGTGGCGCGACACTTTGGCGAAAAGTTAGAATGCCAAGTGTCACTATTTCGTGACCTAGCTAAAAGTTTAGCTTTATATATTAGTTATATGATTAACAAGTTATGTTGAATCTACACTACTAAAAATTGTCCCGCTAGGTTTTCTCCTTGGGAGGGTTTTTTTTGTTCCCTCTAGGGTTTCTCCCTTGGGAGGGTTTTCCTAGCCTCCATTGCTAGGGTTTTTTGAAGGTTTTCCTTCACTCCTCTCCATTTTCTCTTCATCTCTACAATCTCTTTTCCTCTTGATCTCAGTTGTGAACCTTTGTAGAGGCCTCCACTGGTGTTCTTGCCGGTGGTAAGCCCCAAAAACCTTTAAATTGCTTTCAACAAACAGATCTCATTCTTGAGATGATGATTTTTCTCTTGAGTTTATTTTCTTTTTATGTTTCTATGGTAAGAGTTGAAGAACTAGGGTTTCATATTGTCTACAAGAATCCGAAGGGTCACATGAATATTTTCACTGGATTTCAAGCTGAATCAGTGCGAACTCACAGATTGTATTGCTTTAGATGAAGTTTTTTATAAAGGCGATTGTTAATCAATTCTACGATGTATTTAGTTTTAAGGTGTGTACTTGTGCTGGAATTCTTGATTTCTTAAGAATTATATGTAAATGTCGTTTGGCAATATTTTATTAATGAAATTCCTTTTTCTTCTTGTCAAAAAAAAAATTAACAAGTTAGGATAAAATAAGAGTTAAATTAATTAGTATAAACAATTAGGGTACAACAAGATTTATTAAGATTTATATGTATAACAGAATAGACCCGGTCTACAATAACTTATTGTAGACCCAACCTTCTTGTATACCATACGAATATGATTATATCATACGAGATGTAATTATATTACTACAAAAGTGATTATATCATTTTGAAACTGTTATGTAAATGTATAACTCAAAAAGTGAATTTATCATTATAGAAAGTATCAAATAGTAAATTACATTATTCAAAACATGATTTTTAAATTTTATCATTCTAAAGATAATTATATAATCTCGTTAAATGGTTTAATATGAGATTATATAATTCAAATTATGACTCACAAAAAGATAATTATATCATCTAAAAAAGTGATTATATCATCGAGAATGTGATTATATTATTTGAAAGTGTCAAATTTTAGATCTACAATAATTTATTGTAGACCGGGTCCATACAAGATTTAATAAGATAAGGTAATAAGGTAATAATGATATAAAGATTCATGAGTGATGACTGAGTGAGTTCATAAAAATAAAATAAAAGATAATAAGTTCAATAAAGGTAATTAAGTTCATCTCTTAAAAAGGTAATTAAGTTTTTTTTTTTTTTTTTTTTTTTGAAGAAAAAAGGTAATTAAGTTCACAACTAATAGGATAACATTTAACAGGTAATGTAATATGACTAAATTAAAATTCACGTGTTTAAGCACACACAATCTAACTAACCGTTTTAATTGATTTATAGCTGGTATGAGAGGAGAGAGTTTGGTGTTAAAATGGATGTGTGGAATTTAGGGTCTGCTCTCTTTAGTTTAATTTCAGTTCGATTTCTAATTTTCTTCTCTTATAAACAATTCATTTCAGCTCAGCTCAGTTCTAGCTCAATTCAGTAAATCAGAACATGCCCTTAGGGTGTGAGGAGAGGGGTATTTATACATGTAATAGGTACAAAAATATGATAAGCTCGTGCAAGAGATTGTATACAGAAATTATGAGTTTTTTTTTAATTGGAAATTATGAGTTTTAGTTGACAATAAAGTTCATATTGATTTGTAAGATTGATAGAAGATTTATCTAGAAGATTGATGTAAGGTAATGAATTGAATTATAAAAAATAACAATTTGTAAAATCAATCAAAAATTAAGCAAACAAAGATGTTTAAGAGATGAAGTCAATCTAATACGGAGTATCATATAACTAATATATAAAGCTAAACTTTTAACCAGTCCACGACATTGCGACACTTGGCGTTCTAACTTTTCGCCAAGTATCGCGCCACGTTGGATATATTTAGATAGATTTCAAAGAATAAAAAAATTAGTTTAAAATTATATTTTCAATTAAATTTGGATAGAATTTTAGGATAAAATTGTTAGTTGAGAGTTTTATTTTCGATAAAATAAAATTTGAGTGTCGCGCTACGCTAGACAGATTTAATAGATTTCATAAACAACCCGGGCATCGCACAGAGCACAAAACTAGTATATACTTAAAGGGGAGTTTTTCCCCGAGTTTTTAGAGAGCCACATAGGATTTAATTTTCTTATCGCGCCATGTAAGATTATAAATTTAAGTGGTAGCCAATTAAATAAGAGATAATTAACTTCTTTTACAATTAAATAATTCAAATGCCGCGTAAGCAAAATTGGCGAATGAGATTTTAAAGTTTAAAAAAATTAAATACAAAATATTATCTTTTGAGATTAGGAATTTTATATATTTAAAACTAATATAATAACAATTTTAATCACATAAATATGAAAAAAAAAATTAAAAATACTAACAAATTGTGCATCGCACGGGCTTCATCTAGTGTAGAAGTAATTTGGAGAAGATTACAGTAGAAATTTGGAGAAAGGGAGGAGTGAAAAATCAATTAGTGAAATGGATAGATGTCAAAAAAAAAGAATAGGCATGAATTAAGAAGAGGCCAGGAAAGTCAACACACGAGCTGACTTAGTATACACCATAAGGAAGGTAACATGTGAACGCGCCTCACGCGCTAGCAGAAATCCCCCCAAAACCAACCTACTTCGCCCCTGGTTTTAACAAAACCGCTCCTTCTTTCAGCAATATCCCAACGGATCGCCGGCGATTGGAGAGGTTGGGCTTGCTCCCCGATCGCCGGCGAACCCGCCCCCCCTCCCCGCTTTCCCCTGTCAAGCTCAACAAGGCATCACGGAGGTTGTAATTGAACCAACACTCCTTGCCTACCTTCGTACTCTCGGGTCGGGTGGAGTTCCGACTGCGGCCGCTGGGATCACTGCCGGTGGTGACTACGTGTTGTCGAGTCCTTTGCGGTAGCCACCCGTGTTCTGGCTTTCAAGGCTCTCGGCCGGTACTTAATATGATTTCCTCGTTTTTACCGCTTTCTTCTTAGTTCTTTATTTCATTAAGTTAACTATGGATTGCAAGCCTTTAATCGATGCTCTCATGGTCATGCATTTGAATGATGATTATGATGATACTATTGTTAATCGCTCTTAATAATTGTCCCCGTAGTATCTATATTCACGCTAGGGGGTTAAAGGATGGGGGTAATGTATGTTTTAAGAATGGTGAGTTTGTTTCTGCCGGTGCAAAGTACGATAGAGGGCTAAAACTTCTTTGCTTTGGTTTACCAAGTAATGTGGAGGATAGTGTCATGTTCTGGAATCTAGCAATTGTCTTGGAATTGAATCTTGCAGCTTGTGCTCTTAAGATCCATGACTATAATCAAACGAAGGAGCTTTGCTCCTTAGTCTTAAATCTTGATGGTAGCAATGTTAAAGCTCTTTATAGAAGGGCCTTAGCAGAGATTAGACTTTTCCAATTGGAGGAGGCATATGAAGATCTTGGCAAGGCAGCCAAGATAGAGCCAACTAATAAGGATATTCTCCGCAAGTTAGAAAGGTTGATGGGACTACGTGGTCAAGCTAGAAAACTCAATGGCAAGAGGGGTGCCGAGAATTCTGTCCTCACTCACTGTACTCACAAAAAAAAAGGGAAAGGCCATTCAACCCCACGATAGCCTTGTGTCAAATCCGTCATCTCAAAGTAACGATCAAAGTGGTGTTACTAGTTGTCTACCCACCGCAAATCAGGCTAGTAAAATGGAAGTAGAAAGTACTATTCCAATTCACAACTCTTATGCCCCTTTGGAAGTTAAGGAGGGAACCTTTCATCGCCCTACAATGAATCAAGAAGCAAGACACTCACATGGAAAGGATCGTGAGAACTCCCACTACTTCTCCAATAGAAGGAAAAGAAACCAATCCCTTAAACTATCCACCCTGTCTTACTCGCAACTCATGAAAGGGAAGACTTTTAATTTCTTGAACAAATCTTTTGACTCATGGATGACTGTACAAATGAAGGACAAGACTACTCGAGAGAGGCATCTTGAAAATCACAAGCCTACTGACTCACAAGGTCCTTTTGCTTTGTGGATGCCATCTAGTTCGGTGCGTCTGGGTGAGAGGATCAACGACAAAAAACACCAAAAGGAAAAGGTTACGCTTCCCCCTGACTTAAGAGTGGTCAACCATGATATTAGGCCTGGAAATACCAGCCCTAAAGGAAACGTCGACTTGAGACATGAGGATGGGAGTGATATGTCAGCGGAAGATTTAACCCCCACTAACCTTGTGGAAGTGGAATCCGTAGGCTCAAATGAAGATGACCCCATGACTCTTGAATCCGATGTAGTACAAGTTATCCCCACACTCACACACACTACTTTCGAGTTCTCCGCCACAAAAAGGAAGTATGGAAGGCCTCATAAGTCAAGAATGAAGAATAGGAAAAATTATGTTTCTTTTTTCAGGTATTGGCATGACAGGTCCAAGAAGCGCAAAGGAGCAAGCCTTGGGCACCCGAAGACTATGATCTGTGATGAAGCTTGGGAACCCTCAAATTTGCATTGTTTAACATGTTTCGAAGATTGTAACCCCATCCCTCGTTTATATCCTTTTAGTAATTCTGTTAAGAGAGTTAAACTCTCTCCTAATCCTTATTTGTACGCTTTTGGTAGTCCCGAGTCTGTTGGGAGCTAGTCTCCTTTTTTTCCCCGCTGTCAAAAATAGAAAATAAAAAAAGAAGAGGCCAGGAATAATTTTTTTTTTTTCTTATTTTCATATCAATACTCAGTAATATTTTCCGACAATAGGTCATTTTGTATTGTGTTTATAACTTATGAAAATTTAAGGTTAGGTTTAGGTGATTTACGAGAAAGCTTTTCTTAATTCAATAGAATAGGAAGTTTAATTAATTTGTTTCCCTAAAATCCTAAGCTTGGTTCGAAAATAACTTTTTACTTATAAATTCCAAAAATATTTAAAAAACGAAATAAAAGCTTCTAATTTAGATAATTGATGATAGGACATTTTGTCAAAAACTACCTATTATATTCAAGAATTTGCGAGAAACTACCTATTTAAAAAAATATTGTAATTAACTACCTAAATTGTGAAAAATGTTGTAATTTACTACCTGTTGTCGGATTTTGTAGTTTTACTATATTTCTCCGGCGTTGACTTAGTCACGTGCTACTCACGTGAGACTTAATGAACATGTCTTTCCCAAATTTTCCCCAAATTTCTTTCCACTAACTTTTTGAAAAATCATTGTTCCCTAATTACTCCATCTCATTCAATACGAGTCCCTCAACCAACCTGATTTGACTAGAATTGCAGAGCTCTGATGAAAATTAATGATGAATTCCATTCAATTTGTTCCCTCAAGTAACTTAATTTGGTAATTTTTCTCACTGTTATTTCATTTTCAAGTACGAAATTCGCATTGTTCATCTTCTTCATTCACTGACAAATTTCCTTTCTTCTTCTAATCCAATGGTTAAAGGTTGTGGTAAATGCAAACGTGGAGGTGGTGAGGGGACCATATGGTATATAATCCAAAAACCCAGGTACGATATGGAAATTCCACACTTGCACTTGGCTTTGGAAGAAGACATTCGCGCACCTGCAATTCACAATTTTCGTTATAAAATAAACCCTAAATTCATGGGAACGAATTCTTTCAGAACAAAACCAGCAATTGTTAGAGGGTTTCAATCGAAATCTATTACACTAAACTAAATTAAAGAACAATTACCTCAATCGAACACTACAGAGGAAGAGATTGGCTAAAAAAAATCGCCTAAATGTTCATTAAGTCTCACGCACGCCGGAGAAATATGGTCAAACTACAAAATCCGGCAACGGGTAGTAAATTACAACATTTTTCAAAATTTAGGTAGTCAATTACAACATTTTTTTTAATAGGTAGTTTTCGCAAATTCTTGAGTATAATAGGTAGTTTTTGACAAAATTTTCTTGATAATATTATCCATGTTTACACAATAGCTTAGTAACTCGTCCTCCACGGGACACGGCCACTGCTGCTATAACACAGCTAAACAATACTAATAAAGGAACGACAAACCAGCTCTATACTCACTTCACAACTCATCACAAATCCCACCATACACAAAGTCCAGCAAATGATCCATTGCTCTTTTTTTTTTTGACAAAGGGAACTACAAACAAAATCAAAAAACAAAAGAAATAATTTGACGACGTCGCGCAGCACCAGCCAACCGATGAGCCTCAACAACTGATGATCTAGGAACCTTTTGAATGTGACAAAGAGACAAGGAAGGGATCAAACTGCAAATATCATCCCGAATCCACATAACTGATACGTCCTTAAAACCCAGCTCCACAATAAGCCGTGGGACTAAAATGCAGTCTGTACAGATCAACAACTTGGAAATACCCCGCTGAATAGCATGACGAAGACCCCAACAACAAGCAAGTAACTCAGAATGGAACGCAAAAGTCGCAGTACAAGCTCTAGCTCCCCCAGCAACTAAGGTAGAAGAGTCCATACGGCGAAAACACCAACCCGCTCCGGCAGTAAAAGAAGTGGAGTCCCACGAACCGTCAACATATAGAATCTCCTCATAATCCTGGTGCATAGGCCCTAAAACAAAAAAGATCGTAGACCGAAAAGGAAAACCCGGGGGAGCACTAAACGTACCAGGATCCCAAACTCGGGCATCCCTACTCCGGGCATGCCAAGAAGAGGCCAAATCAAGAACTAACTGAGGGGAATAAACTTCAGATCTAAATCGAGCATTATTCCTGACTATCCATATTGCCCAACATAAACTAAAGAAAGCATCCAACTGATTCCAGTCCTTATCATGAGCCAAAAGAGAGACAATATTTTCAAACCAACCAAGAAATGGAGAATCTGTAGAAGTGTTGGAACAACAAGCCAAAGCCAACCGGCTCCAAAGCTGACTAGAAAAAACTGGCAATCACGAAATAAATGTTCAACTGACTCAGACGCAGAACGGCAAAAGATGCAAGCTGGATCAATAGGCATACCTTTAAGGCTAAGAACAGCCGCCGTAGGCAAGGCATTATTACAAATTTTCCATGTAAACACCTTGCATTTTGGCAGGATGGGCAAGCCCCATAATCGCTTCCACCAACCTTTAGTCAAAAGGCTATTATGATTCATACGCAGGGAAGAAAGTAGACAGGAATAAGCAGATTTAGTAGAAAACGAACCATCCCTAGTATGTTTCCAGTAAATAAAATCATCAATTTCCTGCTTTGGGCATTCCAAAGCCAAAATAGCCGACGCAATTGACTGAGGGAAAAGCCTGCGAATTAAGGAACAATTCCATACGAGAGAACCAGGCATAAAAAGCTCAGACACCCAGGTAGGTCTCTCATGTTCAGAAATCGAAGAGCGAAAAAACCACATCAAAACCAGGAACCCAACAATCCTCCAAAATTTTAACTAACTTCCCTGAACCAATCTTCCAAGAAAGACCTTTCTGAATCACAGATCCACCCTCCAACAAACCCTTACTACCCCAAGAAGAGCGAACAGTCGACAAGTACGGGCGAGGAGAGAGTAAAGTAGGATATTTCGCTTTAACCGCCCTCGAAACCAGGAGTTGGGATGATGGATCAAACACCAAGTAAAACCTGATTAAACGAACGAATATGCCTAATACCAAGACCTCCCAGGCCTTTGGGAAGATGTGACATCGAGTCAGGAGCTAAAGCCAAACCCTTCGATGATTGACCAGAACGCCACCAAAATCTGGACAACAGAGAATCTATCCGGTCGCAAATGGTTGTAGGAATCTTAAAAACCGAGAGAACATGATTAAAAGCAGCCACCAAAACAGAGTTAATGATGACTAATTTAGCTGCTGAGGATAAATGCAAGGAGGCAAATGAAGATAAACGCTGAGCAATCCTATCAACCATAAATTGGAAATCTTTACATTTCCGCCGGCTGAGATCAACTGGAAGGCCTAAATACTCACCAATGGAAGAACGAGCCTGCATATGAAGAGTAGAAGAAAGGAAATCCTTGTAGTCCTGAGGAGTATTAGCACTAAAGCGGACAAAAGACTTCTGTAAATTTATCATCTAACCCGAGAACGAACAAAATTCATTAGTAACTGAAAGAGAAGTAAATGAACTTTTCACAATCACTTAACAATTGCATCAATCTTCACACTCGTAACTCAGAGTTCCTAATTCCCGGCCAATGATGTAACCCGGACCAAGAGGATGATGAATATTGGCTGTGCAATAACAGCAGCCTCGAAGATTGGCTTCATCTGCAGGATAATGATAGTAAGAAAGCAACACAGAATGAGTCCCTTGGATAAAAAGGAGCATAGTCAAGAGAATGATTTCCTTTATTCAATCTCCAACCAATGACCAATATAATAATACTCAGAAGTCAGAACTAAGAAGTAATACAAAAACTAAGCAGTAACACCAGACAAAGAAAAATCATACTTTCCAACATCCAATTACATAACTGTGTACTCAATGTATACCTGGTAAGTGATTAGACGGCCCCAAGCATTTGCAAAAGTCAACCAGGAAAAAATAGCCACAACAAATTACTTCAGCAAAAAAAGTCTTCACTTCAACACCAGGCTCCTCTTTAGCCTCAAAGTTCATATGCATGAGAAAGCCTATACTAGTGTTTACTACTTTAAAGCCACTAATCTTCACAAGCTCAAAGTTTGAACCCTGAAAAATTCATAACAAGTGAACCAAAAAGGAAGCAGAAATAACCACGTGATAGGGAAAGAAGGCAATACAGCAAATGGTAATACTTTTTCAGGAATCAATCGGACCAAAATCATACCTGTTCTTTATTAAACAAGCGCAAGGCTACAGATGCACGTCTATCGTCTGAGCAATCACAAGTTTCACCCACGTACTCAAGTCCGGTATCTGAGAACTTAAGAGAAAGGTCTACATCCTTTTTGTTCTTTCTTCTAGGCAATTTTGAAATTGAAAATAAAAATCAATCAGGACATGAGCCAGTAACACTTGGAAAATAATTAAGAAAATGCCTGATCCCATATAATAAAAGTCTATCAACTTTATCCCCACTTGCTAATAGACTAATTGAGCAGTGAATTTCAACTCAGATCAAGTGGGTGCTATTTAAAAAATCTTACCTCCTAACTGTTGGACAAAATAAAATCAAAACTCTTATGGACAACAGTAATATAATAAGCAGAACACAAATGATTGAGCTATATGAAGCTGTAAGGAAGGGCAATAAAAAAAACTGCAAGATAACGACAAAAGAACAAACACCTCCGTATTCTCCAAAGGTAATCATGGACCTCATCGATTTTGGAACACAAGGTCTTCCAATGATCTTCCCCGCCATTTCGAAAGAGCATAGAGTATTCAGGATGGTGGATGTTTTGAGGATAACAACAGAGGCAACCACGAGTATCAGCTTTCTCTGCCAGAAGTATAAGCAAAAAGGCAAAAAGGATCATCATAATGGTAATCAGAGTGCAGAAAACTGATACTACTACACACTAAACAAAATCATCCACATCAATCAAGACATGTCAGCAATAATCGAGTTTAAAAAGCATGTAACCTGGTAGTAAGTTGCTTGGCCCCATGCAGACGACATGGTCAACACGGACATCATTGATTTTAGTTTCTGTGAGCTCAGTAAAAAAGGTTTGGACATCGGATACACCCTTTATCTTAACCTTGAAGTTAAAATGCAAAATACGGCTGCCTGATGAAAGATATCCTATGCCAACAGGGCCAGTCTCCACAAGCTCATAGTCTGATGGATTGTCATTACGGCTGTTTATAGCTATGATTGTATAGCTCTCCCAGCAGGCAGCAGATCTCGAGTCAATATCTTTGTCTTCAGGATCGGACATTATGACACTGGCCATAGTTAAAACAAACGAATTACAGAAGTTGAAACTTAAAACAGGTAAGGAACAAGCAAGAGCAATTACAAATCACTGGTAATAGTAGTGGTTACACTAAGTCCGAGAGGTTGTCATACACACCCATGAGTATTTAGCAAAAACTAACCTTAAGTTAGTTGGGTGTACGGTACACGTACACCGGGTGTATATAACAAATTCTACCCAAGTCCATCCATTAATTATATAGCCAGCAAACCATCCTTATGGTTGTTGATTAATCAGACAATTCAACCAAACAGTAAAGAACATGATCAGAAAAGTATCTATATACTTGTTATATAATATACTCAGCTCTAAATTGGACTTTCATCCCATTATATATACTACCTCCATTACAGGTTATATGCAACAATTAGACATTTTCCCTCTGCTTTATGTCAAATCGTTGCACATACCATGTAACGGCTACTCAAGCTAATAAATCATACTAGTATTACTACTCATAAAAATCATATAAAGTACAACCCAACACTGAAATCAAACAATCTAATGAATTAATTAATCAATGTATCAAATCAAAAAAACTGTAATTGAATTACCGAAAATCCTTGCTTATACGCACAGTAGCTGGTGGCGAATTGCAATCATCTTTGGTCAACTTGAACGTATTTCGGCTTTGAACGTTAAATTGATTGAGAACACTGTAGCACGGCAAATTCAACGTAAGAAAGATGAAACCCTTGATTGATTTATGAATTGGAGAATAACCCTAACACTAAAAATCTAATCTTGATAGAATTTAATACCTGGAATTCTCCCAATTAATTTGGGTTTTACGAGGAGCAGTGCTTCTACGGCTTCTCTTTCCCTTTGTCGTTATCATCTTTCTTTCTCTCTCCAGATTTCTTTAACGCCGATGGAATTTCATATTTATATCCTATCATATATGTCAAAAGACAAAAATACCCCTAATAATAATATGCTTATGGGGGTTGTTTATACCCCGTTAGGCGTTAGGGGTGTTTATGAAGATGGTTAGGGGTTTTTTTTTGGGTGGTTTTTGTGGTGGATGCGGTGATTTTTGAGGGTGACGGGGTTATTTTTAAGGGGCGTAGTTTGGGGGTTAGAGTGATTTCCTTGCGGGTGGGGAATCAAAGTAGAAGGAAAATAGGGTAATGAGAAGGGTAAAGGGAATGATTAAATTTTTCAACAAGCATTATCAAAGGGATTTAAGGTAGTTGATTGTCTTTCCCAAACGACCCTTGATTATTCTATAACGATTCCCTACTTTATAAAAAGTAGAAAATAACACTTAGGAATAGTGTGCTACCAACTATACCCGAGTTAAGCTAAAATACGGTCCCTCAACTTTAGTATTTGTAGCATTTTGGTCCCTCATCTTTCAAACGAAACAAATTGGTCCCTCAACCACCCATAACTTACGTTTCCGGTGGAAAAAAAATGAGTCACCAAAGTTTAAGGACCAAAGTGGCCATGTGGCAAAAAATAAAATGATATTTAAAAAAAAGTGTAGGGACCATGATTCATTAATTTTTTTTTATTTTTTTTGGTCAGTTTTTATTTTAAAAGGAATTTTTTAACCGACATTATTTTTTTTCATCAATATTAATATTTTAGTTATGATTTGCATTAATAAAACTATAGAATTTTCGGAAAAAAATATATAGGATTTTCTATCTTTTCTAACCCCACATCACCAACAACCTGCCACATACACAACCCCATCTCCACCAGTCTGCAGCCTCACCACCATCAATATTAATATTTTAGTTATGATTTGCATTACGAAGATGGTTATCGTTTTTTTGGGATGGTTTCGTGGTGGATGTGGTGATTTTTTAGGGTGATGGGGTTAATTTTAAGGGGCGTTGAGTGGTTTGGGGTTAAGAGTGATTTCCTTGCGGGTTAGGGAATCAATTAATCAAAGTAGAAGAAAATAGGGTAATGACAGGGGTAAAGGGAATGATTAAGGGTATGTTCGGCAAAATATAGATGTGAAGGTAGCTGTAACTGTGGAGATGGCTGTGAGCTGTGTATGTAGCTGTTAGCTGTCAACAAGCTGTTAGCTGTGAAAAAGATAATTTAGGTATGATTGTTCGGTAAAGTAGTGGTTGACTAGCTGTTACATTTAAGAATCAATATTTTATTTTTAAAACTATACATTAATTTTCAAAAGCTACCTCAAAAGCTACCTCTAACTTCAAAAGCTACCTCTAACTTCAAAAGCTAATAATCCTAGCTTTTAATAAAAGCTACCTCCACCACTAAAAGCTACTTGAACCATTACTTTGCCAAACACTCACATTTTTTGTTGAGTAGTGCTTATTGATATAATAGTGTATTTTTTGTAGTTTTATTTGTGAAGTTATTATTAGTAACTTGATATTTCTTTTATTGCACTTAAATTATTTCTTATGAATTGAAAGTATTTTTACCAAACAAAAATTATTTTTTCTGATTCACTTATTTTTTTTTTTTTATTAAAATATGTTTTAAATGGATCTCATTTTTAAGAACTTTTTAAAACGAATTTTATGATGAAAAAGGTACTGATGACTTATAAAGTATTTATTGAAAGTTATAATTAATTTGTATATATGAAATATTAAAAATATATCGATATATACAACATTTTTATTTTTAAAAAATCTATTTAAAATTCACTTACTTAACATCATATGTGTCACAATAGCACCTATTTGTCGCCTACGTGGCACGACACTTGCACTTGGCGAAAAGTTGGAATGTCAAGTGTCGTTGTCTCGTAACCTGGCTGCAAAACCGGCTTTACATATTAGTAAAGTGATATGTACATATTCTTTACTCAATACTTTCAATAGTAATAGGGCCTAAAAGAAAGGGTTATACTTCAGTTATAATGCAATAGGCTAACATTGAAAGCCCATAGTACGAGGTCCCTAAAATTGGCCATTTCATTATATAAGCAATATTGTAATATTTGTGCTTTGAAAAATTCAGTACAAAAACTTGTTCTTTGCAACATAAAATTTAGCTCTAGAATATCTAAACATCAATGAAAAAGAATATCTTTACACATAAGAAATAATACAAAACATTACAATTTCGTTTACAAAAATTGTTTCTTTTCAATTGAACAAACTCCCTATACAGTGAACACAAATACATTGACAGTACATTCAACTCTTCTCAACTAATTATCTTTGCCTGCGACACGAGTTAGAAACTCTCTGGTAGTAAAAAATTTCACATGATTATTCACTCATGCTATTGTTGTAATTCCTTTTTTTTTTGGTGTTTAAAGAGCCACAAGGGCGGGGGTGAGAATCAATCCCGGGATCTCCTGGAATCGGGAGGTAAACTCTAACCACTTGAGCTATCCCTCACTCTCATTGTTGTAATTCCTAATCTTACAATAATGTGATTCAATCTTTCAACCTACTTTCATTTACATATGTAAGTAGATGGCTGTCAATATTTGGCAATCCCGGAATTCTGTGCCTTGCCTAAAAGAGATTCAATATCAGCAGTTATCAACCCCAAATTTTTGGCTGCGGCAAAGCCAGCATACAAGCCATCAACAGCTGCACTAACTATTCCTCCAGCAAATCCTGCTCCTTCTCCCACTGGATATAGTCCCTTTAAATCTGTGCTCTCGAATGTTGTGCTGTTTCGTGGAATTTGAACTGGAGAGCTCGTTCTCGTCTAGTAAATCAATTGATAAGCGCAAATCAGAAACAAATAGGGTCATTTCTAATTAAATGTTGCAAATTGAGTAATTTATTAATTTAAACAAAATACAGATACTTGGGCACATTGATCAGTGAGAATACCTCTACTCCATGTAAAAGAGCCTCTTTTGAGATAAATCCTGGGAGCTGAAATACAGAAATTAGTGAAGCTCAGAACAAAATCTGCATATTAACTGAAAAAAAGAACATCATCATAATTGTAAGTCTGATAATGCAAACCTCTTTTTCAAACATCAAGATAGAATCCTGCAGAGCCTTAGTTATGTGAGCAGGAAATAACTCGTGGAGATTTGAAGCCTTGACTCCTAAGCGATAGCTTGATTGCGGCAAACACATACCTGAGGATAAATGAAAAATTATGATACTGGGCAGAAAAGGTAACACGTGAACGACAGTTGCAATAGGTTCACTGAATTTTCTACCTGATGTTCGCTCTTCAAGAAAATCAGTGACTGTCTGCACAGGAACCACAAAATTACCACCTCCCATTACAGCCGCTCTTTGTTCAAGTTCCCTCTATATAACGAAAAACTCGGCATTAGAAGTATGGAGAAGAGGTCAAATACTCACCACCTGGCATGACTTCAATAAAATGTAGTACTTGACACACTATATCAATAGAAGCATAGTCCTCAATTCTCATACGAGGTAATACTAATAATGTTATCAGTGTATCCAACTTAGTTGAAGTTGCCAAATCCAAAAGTGAGAAAATGTCATGGCAGTTCCTCACTTGAATTTCCTTAATTGAGGTTATTTTTAGGTGTGAATTAAACTCGAGAAGTCCTTATCTGAACTTCTAGACCCTAATTAGTAAATATCATCAATTGTCGATGGAGCTTGAATAGCTACTAAGCCTTCTATCAAGCCTAATTTATGAAAAATTATCCAAAGGTGAAAAGAATCAAGCCTAAATCTAAATATTTAAACCATCCAGCTTCAACAAGGGTCATTTATTCTCAAAGTATGTGTGAAAAGGGCATCACCGAAAAGAAAAGAGATTAAGGCATAACTTAAAAAATTGATAGATGTGCATTGGTCTGAACTAGCTCATAGGATTAACAGTAGCTTACCTGGAAGTCAACACCTGCAAGAGCCCCATGAAAATTTAAGCTCTCAAAATCTTTTGAGGAGACTGTAACAACAAGTGCTGAGTTAGCCCATTTTGATGAACGTCGAGAAAATGACATTCCATTAATACAGAGCTCTGATGGATTTGTACTGGTGAGAACAACCTGAATGTCATGCTAGAAAATGTTAACAATGGAAACTCATAACTAAGAAAATTTCAGGAATCTAATCTCCAAGATAATGTCATATACAAAAAAGAAACAGAAAATCTTTTACCCCTTCATTCTTAAGAAAAGAAATGCCTTCTACCCTTTTTTTTTAATCTTTTTATCAAAGATAGCCCAACCCTTTATACAGTTAAGATAGATAAGGTTCTACAATTCTAATCTATGGCTATTGGCTAATACTAAGTTACCAATTGCATTGGAAATTTCATAACCATCTTAGAAAATTTCAAACATTTAACCCCATCTGTTTACCATCAAAAGGTTCAAGCAATCCATATTCTTCTTCCCCACCCCACCTTGAAAGAACATCGGTAAATGAAGTGGAGTCATTGTAAACATATAAATATATTTTATAAGCTACAAAGACATATCCTACTAATATCATAGAAATAACTAGCTCATACAAAGTACCTGTCCTCCTGGACACATGCAAAAAGAGTAACAACCACGGCTTGTAGATGAATAGGAAGACTCTGCAACCTCTCCACTGAGATAGTTTGCAATCTTATAATCTGCAACTGGTACTTTTCCACGTCCACCTTGAACTTCAGCTGCCAATGCAGCATACTGAACATCCACACAAAAAAATCATCAACGTGGCTCAAACATTACCATTTTGGCTTGAATGCAAGTGTCCCTTCTTTGTTCAATATTTACGAACAGAACCAACTAGTTATTTGAAATTAGATAATTATGCACAAAACACAACTATACAATGCAGTAATACGGTGTCTTGTACATCAAAACACTAATCATGCTAATAAGCCACAGAGCCCACAATACACAAGAATTGTAGAATGAACAGTTTTTTAGTCATATCTAATAAAGACAAATAAACAATGACAATATGC